CTCGTAATTCCCACGGGTGGGCAGGCAGCTAGGGACCGGAAAGATGTTACAGCTGAACGATCAGCTCCCGTGCTTCACATTGAATGGCAGTCATCCATCGAAGGAATACTACCTTTCAACACCTTCCATCAAGCAAGTGACAAATTAAGCATAGACGAGAGAGCATAGTTTCGTTATCAGCCTCACAGTAATGTTTATTAGGTCTCAATTCATTTTGATCTTTTGTTTCGTGGGCTAGCTAGTTCCGTGATTTTCGCTTGGTTTGCCGTCTGCAAAAACATCCACGTTCCTAATATGAATTTCTGTCTTCTCTTTTCCCACCTTCTTTTACCTTTGTCATCCATCGGTTCATGTGAACAATCACCAATTCGTTTTTCTTTCTTTCTCTCATTAGTTTTGCGGCGGTTTGCTGTGCTGCCACAATCCGTTTATATTTTGACTCATTTTCACTCACGTTGTCGTTTACTCCCGCTTTCATATTCCGACTGATGACGATCGGTTGTCTTCGCCTCGGAGATTTTTTCACTCACTCACACTCATTCATCACTTAGGTTCATTGATCATTCTGTGATTTTTTGCAATTTCGGATCAGGATCTCGCACAGCTGACCGTTGTTACATCACACCGGTCTCCCTGTTGATCTTGTTGTGACATTTATTCAACAAGCGAGAGAATCTGCGTCGCCCACGTCAGTTGATTCCCTTAGTCTCTCAGTCACAACACCCTGTCGGTAAACGGGGGTAGGCGTCATTTCATGTGGAACCCATTTTTTCATCTGTGTTCGGTTTCATTCAGCCTCTCTCCCCTGCTCCGCCGGCTGGAAATTGAATTCACTTGTTCATCTGCCATCGTAGGTTACCCCCACTCAATCCTCTAATGGTGTTCAAGTTTGGCCTGAGGAGAAACGCGTTGCTATCGTCATAAAATATAGCACTGCGATAACTCCCACTGCTCACTCTTAGTTGGATATCCTCTGACCGCGTTCATCTATTCACAGTTCTCAGTCTTTTTCATCCACATTTTTGTGTGCGTGTGTTCATACAGTTGTTTGGACCGACTGGAATGTATGCGCCTCTTTGCAGGCGGCCGCGGACAACTTCCATCAGTATCATCATCATCATCATCTCTCTCTTTCTCTCCCTGTCTTTTTTCACTCATCCTTTGCCATTCCTTATCGCGAATCCTATCCTCTATTGGTCATCACGTCATCATGGCTTCGAAACATTGTGGCACGGATGTTTGCCTCATCTTTCTATTATCGTTTGTGTCCGGCTCCTTCTTCCACTGCTGCATCACACGCGCGCGTGCGTGTCTGCACGATTTTCCCCATCACGCCATGGTTATCACCGTTTCTGTCCCGTCCCATCGTTCACGTGGCTCGCGCGGTCGGTCACCACATCACGACCGTTAGGCACCACGGAGCGTGTCTGTCTGATTGTTGGTTCCATGGAAGGTGTCATGTCGGTGCACAACTACATCATGGATCGAATTTTGGAGAAACCGGATCCCAATCCACACGCCACTTGTGAAGGACGTCTGAACGTGGAGCGACATAAGCAGGTTAGTTGAATGCGAACATTTAGACCTTTGAATCCCATGTTCTTTCGTGCCATAAGGTCAAACAATTAATTGTGGTCACATCACAAACGAGAGATTCAGCTGGGTTTCAGGTGAGTCTCCCGAAAAACCAAATTAGTTTGCAAATGAGTGTGTATTCGTTGAGTTCGTGCGATTTGGTTTCAAGCAGAACATAAGGTTGACGGAAACCGGGGGACTGCGCCTACCTGACGGATTTTCAGTAACCTTATGAGTGGTACATTACGAAGATATACATGTATCGCGATATCTCGAATATCGTAGCGACTGAAACATGAGGCGGCCTGGTGCAGCACATTCAGTTGCCTGAGGACATCACAAACGAGATATTCAGCTGGGTTCCAGGTGAGTCTCTGGAAAAACCAAAATTATTCGCATACCGAGGTTTGTTTCTACATGCGAGTAATCTCTGCGGAGAAGCAACCGCTTTCCTTCCACCCAATTTCGTTTACTTTAGTTGTTCATAATCAGGTAAATTATTGGATGGTTCATAGTTGCGTTGCATGCGTGTAGCATGTACATTCATTGGTTCCTTTCAGCAGACGCCCCAATGGAATTCAACCCCTCCGCAGAGATATGCTGCTCTGGATTCGTGAATTTCACTCCTCAGATGCTGGATAAGCCACTGCTCTGATAATTTTGTTGCTGTTTTCGTTGTTCTGGTAGAGTACGTTACGATAAATGATTATTCTAGTCCTTTTTCGAACCCAACTGAGTGGTACACACAGTTGGATTATTGTAATTGCTTTGAAGACTTGACATCTAGGGACTAAATCTGAAGATAATTCGACATCCAGTAAGTGTCCCAATCGGTGCCCAAACCCTGGCACGAAATCTAAAGTCACCTACCTCGCAGGCCATGTTAGCCCGATGTCGGGTAGCCTGTAGATTCCTGTCGAGGCGTCCAGCGAAAAATGCGGGATCCACGTGACATGAGAAAACTGGATGAATTTCTGGTTTTGACGGCCACCAGTTTGCACAAGAGCGGGTGGAAACACGAATTTTCCCGCTACATACCCACTAAAGCTCGCGGTCTATTCTCAAGCTTGTTTACCCTGTTGCAAAAAACGTAAGCTATGGGTTTAACTAGTCACCACCGTTCCTTGGAACGGAACGAGAGCAATGTATTCGTGACAATGTAGGAAATGAATTTTTCTATCCTTTTCCCCCATCCTGACCTTCCTTCCTGATCGAAATTTCTGACCTATCACGTTCACACAGGTCAAAATTCTCGTACCAAACAGCACTGCTGGTATGGTCATCGGCAAAGGTGGTTCCTACATACAAGAGATCAAGGAAAAAACTGGTGCCTATGTGCAAATTTCACAGAAATCACGAGAGTTCAATCTGTTAGAACGCTGCATCATTATTGCAGGTAGGCACAGTGTTATTTCTCAATTCGCCGTTCGCTTATCACCAAACCGGTTTAGCACATTATCGTTCGTTTGTCCACGTAGTGCGTATGCTTTGTGTTGGTTCGCACATGTGCATACTGCTTTTTCCCCGGTTTTCCTTGTGCAAAAAATGAAGGGCATGCGTGCCAAGACGTCATCAAAACGACGGACCAACATGCCTAGGAATCTATCGAAGTGCTGCGAGTTCATATTTGATGGGACAACCTACCGACTACGTAGTGATGATCGGCTCGGACTATTTTTCTCCACAATACGGATGGATCGAACTGCGTAGGCTGTGCTCGTGAAGCGAATTCGTACTGCCGAAGTGTCCATTACATATGCAGCTGAGAAAGCATGCACAGACAGACTTTTTCAAAGTTTTTTTCAAGTCGCAGTAAGGACAATATCGGACTACTTATATCTGGACTTTTTTTCATATTTACTGCCACATTTGGCCGTTTGCAGAGCTGTATATCGGGCTCAATTTCACAGCGCAGACTGGTGGCTACAGATCGTCGTCCAAGAACACGGGACCTTCCACTGATATCATCACTTAATTTTGAAAACGGCTTCATAGTCAAGAGGGTGAGGTTCATCCATTTCGAATCTGCTGTCCAGGCAACGTGGGAATACGTAGCAACAAATAATAGGTGGACAAAATCACAGTGCTAATTCTGACAGGTTAAGCACTTCTCGAATCGGGCCGGTTACCGGGACAACCGACAGTCACGATCGATAATTCAACCTGTCAACGCTAGTATCCCTCGTCCGTTTCAAACATCCCAAGACCTTCCCAACATTGTTGAACCACAACTCTAGGAATTATTCCCATCGAAAATTAGAATCCATTCAGCCTTGAATTCACAAGTCACATTCTGCTGTGCACGAATTTTAATAGGAGTTTGTCTAGGGTTTGTTAGGTAATTATGGGGATTTATGGAAGAGCGATGTTTCGTTTTTGATGCAAAAACTTCATCAGGTCAAGTGAATAGGTTATGAGGTTGGCGAGTTTTATGGTGGGTGAAACGCTCTCCAGCTATAAACCCACTGATTGTTTATCAAAACCCTGTGAAACGATTTCTCAATCGTTAGAAACATTTTCCAACTAGTCTGCCTGTCGATTGTTTGCTTGGTCATTGACAATAATAGTGATGATAATAATGATATCAACATTTTCCAATTGGTTAAAAATCGTCTGCCTGTCGATTATTTGCTTGGTCATTAACAATAATAGTAATGATAATAATGATATTAGTTCAGTTGTGACACCCTTTCGGTGCATAGCCGCCGTGCCATCCGAAGGAAGCACGAGGGCTGTGATACTGCCAGGTTGCCGAGGCCCAAACAGGAGCAGTCGAGATGTTGAGGTTGGGTTCGAACCACGGACTTGCCGGTCGGTTAGTTCGCGCCTTAACCAATGAATCGTCTCGAGCCTATGATTGGTCATTTCTACTGTAATTTGAACTTTCGAAGGGCTGTCGCATTCGCTATTTGAAATCGTTTCCTACCATCAGCAAACGTGCTGTGATTGCAAAATCAAACTCACCCACCATGATCTGACCGTATCGCGATATCAACTTCACCTTCTGCGTGACTGTTTGTAATTTCTACGTATATGTGTCTTCGATATTGCTGTCTAATTTTTTATCACCTTCGCCATTATATACATCTGCTATTGTGAGAGGTCTACCGGTGCGACGTTAGACAAATGTAACGGAATCACAACAGATCCCGCTTGAAAGTTTTTCTTGGACGCTGCTTTCTTACAGGGTGGAAGCCGTTGTAGGGGTATGAGAACCGTTCATGCAGGACGAATTGAACAGCATACAAGACCGGACATACTTACACGCTTACAGGTTTGTGTCGAAACGGACTCAGCTGGAGAATTGTTTGCTTTGCGAACCGGTTGGTACTAGTGGCCAATTTAGACGACCAGTTACACTCGTCAAGCAGTTTTCGACACAGCGAAACAATATGCTACGAATTCACCCTACCTTTAGGGGCGAGATGGCCCAAGTGTTTAGAGCGCGAATTTACTGACCTGAAGGTCTGTGGTTCGCACCCGACCTCTGCCTCTCGAATTCCTCTGTCTAGGCTTGGGCAACCTAGCACTATCTCAGCCGTCGTGCAACCTTAGGGTGGATGGCAGTTATTTCGACACAGCGAAACAATATGCTACGAATTCACCCTACCTTTAGGGGCGAGATGGCCCAAGTGTTTAGAGCGCGAATTTACTGACCTGAAGGTCTGTGGTTCGCACCCGACCTCTGCCTCTCGAATTCCTCTGTCTAGGCTTGGGCAACCTAGCACTATCTCAGCCGTCGTGCAACCTTAGGGTGGCATGGCAGTTAGGCACCGAAAGGGTGCTTCAGGTGAACGACAACATCCTACTTTTTAATGCACCGAGTTAGTTGTGATACGAGTGGGTAATATCATGTTTGTGATACACTCACGTTGGTCTGTGGTTTAGCCGGAGCTGTCTGGTTTATCGATCGATCGAGTGGCAACGCACGCAACAGAGTGATCATGTCAGCTTAGTTTGGACACCAGACATGAATTCCGTGAATTCCACAAGTTTTGTGTGAGGCGGAATCCCGCACCAAAGCCGCTTTACTCCTCGCAGGTAGGCGCTGCTACGGCCAAGAAGCCACACGCGACTAGCCAGCAGATCGGACTGCTTGTCGGTCCAGCATCAAGGTAAGCCGTGATTGGCCGAAAGCGTCGACCCAACATCCAACCGTGATTCATTATCTGCCGGTTGCCAATGCCGTGTTCAAAACGAGTCGAAGTATTTAGAACCTCGTACGCTTTACATTTCACGCTCTGTGCCTGTTTTTGACCTGGTTTTGGGCTTGCACCCTTGATGGTTCTTTTGCCGAAATGCGCTAGGTTTAGCGGTCTAGACCGAGAACTGAGCTGAGACACTACCGCTGTTATATTGTGCTACATTTTCGAAAGCTGTTGAACAAGAATCTCTTGTTAAATGCGTATAAAGGATTAAATGTTGGCCAGCATACAGATCCACAAGAAACCCATGATAGATGAGTTAAGGTGATCATTTCACGACTCACTGAGGCCGACGACAGTCAGTCAGCTGTAACATCCTTTCAGTGCCTGGCTGCCATGCCACCCAAAGGAAGCACGGGGTCTGGGATACTGCCAGGTTGCCCAATTCTAGACAGGGGAAGTCAAGAAGGTGAGGTCGGAATCGGACCACGGACCTTGCGGTCAGTAAATTCGCTCTCCAACCACTTGAGGCCAATGAAAAAGTGGTATTGATGCTCCTGGACTCAAGAACACTTCCACTCAACTCAACTTCCTATGGCCATTTTTACATTCTCCGTTTATTCGTTTCACACAGTGCGAGACCGTTCAGAGCTTCCTCTGTTGCTTTGATGAGACTGTTTTGAATTTTCTGCTTGCAGGGTTTACAACATTCGGCACCGCCTTGCGTGTTTACGTGTACATCGCGGATGTGTAGTGTTCGAATGAAACCACTGTAGCCGTTCGGCAACTAACTGGAAACAGCTGTGGCGACAAAGTCAAGGGACGTGTGGATTAGGCTACAGTACGGGCTGTTTTGTTTTATACCTATGAAAAGTGACCTTTTCGGGCAGCGGCACTGGACGACTCCTGGTCTTCGATCTTCGTTATCTCAGAACCATTGCTCGTGTGGGCCAGCGTGGATGTATTCGTCACGAGACAATCGTGCAACGAGTGTTTGGTGGTGCGTTATCTCAGAACCATTGCTCGTGTGGGCCAGCGTGGACGAGACAATCGTACAACGAGTGTTTGGTGGTGCAACGGGAACTTCAATCGAAGATTGTGTCCATCACCAGAAGCTGCGCTGGTTAAGCCATGTATTGCGCATGCCGAGCCCATGCGTTTGCCGAAGTGTACTACTTTCCGTATCCTATTCGGAGTGGCGGCAACAGAGAGGTGGCCGACCGTTGACCTAGCAAAGGGGCATAAAGCAGATAACAGAAAGTCGGTGCGACCCACCTTTCAATGCTCAAGTGCAGACCCTGCAAGATATGGCTGCCAGCCGATGTCATTGGCGTTCTTGTTGTCAGTTTCTATCCAGATTGCGCACCTTGGAATGATTGTGGTGGGCTAGCTCTAATTTCCCTCCCCATCCACTTTCATTCTTTTCTTCGCAATGAAGCCTTCAAATAAATGATGGTCATAAGGCAGCGAAGCATTCGTGCTGGACGCTGATGTTGTGTTGTCCATGATAACGATGATGATTTCCAGGTAGACCATAACAGACGGTCCCATGCATTGTCGATTTGAAAAGTGTTTCACTAGCAAAGGAACGTGGATTTCGCCAACTAGTATGCCAGTCACTAGTTTCAATTGATTTCTTATTGCGGAAGTTTGTTGTATGGGAGTGGTCATTTTTCAGCACTGTGCGAAGTGGTTGGAGCGCGAATTTACTGACCAGAAGGTCCGACCTCTGCCTCTCGACTTCCCCTATCTAGGATTGGGCGACCTGGCAGTATCCCAGCTCTCGTGCTTCCTTCGTGTCACATGGCAGCCAGGCACCAAAAGGGTGCTACAGCTGAACGTTTATTTTTATTTATCACTGTGCGTAATAGCAGGAAACCCACTCGGGTGAAACATAAATCAGTTTTGAAGTACTTCTGAGACCCTCCTAACACTCATCTTATTCGCTCCGTTTGATTTAAGTGAACCTGATGCAGTTTGTGTCCCAACCTACTCATTGGTTCTTTAAGCCGCCAAAAAAACATGATGGATGCTGGAATTCGTTACAAAGTCACCTTCAGTTAACGTTGTCATTTTGGTGAAACAACGATGGAGTCATAACTTGAGTAGACAGTATTTTGTACCTACTAAAATTCATTTTTCAAGGGTTCACCCATTATAAGTCGGTTCCACGTTTTCAGCTGATTCCGTTCACTGATAATACTTACCCACTGTTTCCAATCGTTTTCAACTTCAGGAGATTTAGACCAAACAAGGGCCGCCGTACAGCTGATTCTGGCGGTAATCGCAGCTGATCCACAATCTGCTAGTTGTCCCAACTTATCGTACCACGATGTGCGGGGTCCGGTAGCAAGTGTCTATCCGACCGGTTCCCCGTATGCAACTCCTCTGGTACCGTGTGCCACTACTCCCACCTGGCTTGCGACTCAAGCTGTTGACCCCTCGGCCGCCAATACTGCAGCGATGATGGCCGCTGTCTTCGCGCCTGGTTCCGTTGGATCTCCGGGCGCCGTTCCAACGGGCAGATCTGCGCACACTTTTGGATTTTTCTCCGGCAGTTACGGGACACCGCCAGACATCTCACCGCTGGCCGCGCTGGCAGCTTCTAGTCCGACCTTGGGGCTCACTTCGGTTCTACAATCAGGTGTTCTTTCGAGTCCAGCTGGTGGTGGTGGTGGTGGTTCGACTGAGCTTGTACCGCCTTCGCCGGGCTCATTTCCATCTAGTCCTCCGCAGACTGGGATTAGCGGTTCTCTTTTGGATCCGACTACGGCTTTGGCCGCTGCTGCACAACAAGCCGCTCTTTTGGCAGCATTTCGATCCAAGACCCAAATGCTTCCGCATGAACTGTCAGATCCCACAGCTTCGCTTTCAACCTTAGTACATCAGGCCTCTGTTGTCCCTGGTATGTTGAGAGCTTGGATGATCATTGCCTTCGATTCGTGCCTAATTTTCACCCATTATCTTTCTTGTGCCAGACATTCTTGAGATGATTTGAATTTTCTCCAGGCCGTTTTAGCATATGAACTACCAATTGTGCTCTACCGCCTTTCGTTTTCTAACCCAGGACCTTTCCGGGTGCCCCCAGCTTGGGTGGGATATCCCGTGACAGGAATCACGACACCTACCATCGCTAGTGCGCAACAGACCTTTAGTGGTTCACGGCTTGGTCAGTCTCTTGTCGATCCACAATCATCATCGGCATCAGGTGCCTCGGGCACTTCGTCGGCCAGTTCTTCTCCTTCTGTCGCTGCCAGTGTCGCTCTAGCTGCATTATCTGCCGCTGCAACTGGAGGTGGTACAACCGGATCTGGCGTTTTGTCCAATCCGGGAGCATTACTTGGCATGATGCAACCTCCCTCGATGTCCCCAGCCCTGAATTTGTCCTTCTCAAGACCGGACCCACTCTCTCTAACGGTTTCTAATCTCTCCACAACATCTCCATCGTTATTTCTGGCTCTAAATGAACAACCTAGTGCGGTCGCCAGCGCCCCAACCTCCCCGCCATCGCTCACTCTGCCGTCGCATACTTCCATGTTTGGTCTATATGCGTTTCCTGGGGCTGCCAGTCCTACTTTATCTATGAGCCCGGTTGCATCCTCTGCTGGGAGCTACATGTTCTGCAAAAAAGTGATAGCTGTGAGTTCCCCTTAGCTACTTTCGTATTTGAAAACGAATGTCGTACGTCCTCCATCAGAACGTGTGACATTTTGTTTGTTTATTACTTTTACAGTCATTATTAACGCATCTCTGTATAACACAAATTTTTTCTACGTGTTTTTTAGGTTCCAGAGAGCATTATCGGCTTACTTCTTGGGCCACAGGGTCGGTCGATTGTTGACTTACAAGCCTCTTCCGGTACTGTTATTCAAGTTTCACAGAAAGGTGTCTATGCACCCGGTACCCAAAACCGCCTGGTCACCATTACTGGACCCCAGTTGAATGTTCAGTGGGCGGCCAATGTGATTGAGCAACGCGTAGCTGTTGAACAACTGCGACGGGAATCCAGTGGCTCTACGCAACCGTTCACGCCTCCGGCACAATCGGAAGGACAACCAGAAACATCACGCCGGTTGTCATTTCTTCTCTGTCCTCAGTCGACCGCCCTGAGTACAGACCCAACAGGACACACCTCTCTAGCTCAAACGCTTGAGGCCACACTGTCAGCTCCTTGCCAAACCACCGTGACTGCCTCCACCTGTTCCGTGAAACGGGAAAACGATGGATCTGGATATCAGAAACCTCCATGAAAAACATTCACGAAGCACACAGAATCATTCCACATCTGCCTGTTTATGGCTGGATATCATTGCTTTGCAGCCGAAACGGGATTCGTCCCTTCTCATAGCGCCGTCTCTATCTATCTGCATTGAATTATGTAACTGTCTTTCAATCAGATGCCGTTAGTGTGCGTCGTGGCGCCACACAATGCCCCGCCCTAGCACCGGTTGTCTCCCACCTACAGCCCAAAAGCCCGCGTGAGTACCTATTTCGGAATTTGATCTGTCGTGCTTTTCACGGCCAATTTGGATCGAGTTTTTTCTCTGTCACGCTACTTTCCGTTTCAGTAAATAATAACTTCTGAGACCATAGATACCGCTCTCTTATCGTTTGCTCCCCGCCCGCAGTGTTATTTCTTCTCATTGTGTTGTCCTCTAATGTTTTTCTCCGGTTTGGGATGAACACTAGGTCTTTCAGCCCCTCCCCTATTCATCACCACCAGCAGCATTGCATCCTGTGTTGCCACTCGCCGCATTTTAGTGCAGCAAGCCGAAAAGATCCACCCAACTTGTCTCTCACTCTCTCCTGGGTTTTTCTCCTCTCGGACACTGTGTTCTTAGCATCTGGACTGTCGATAGCCTAGGCCTTGGTAGACATTTCTTATGTTCTGCTCGTTTGTTCCACAAAAACTGACTGGCGCGTCTTTCCCCCTGGGCCTCGGAAACAGCACCAATTACAGCGAGTGCTGTTCCGTGTTTCTTAATTGTTGGCGCCATCCAGCAGCCCATTCAGAAGCTACTTTTTTCTCCTAAGGCGTTGGCAGAATCGACCGATATTTTTCATTTTTAATTCCCTTCTCTATCCTCGACGATCGTGTTCCGGTGTTGGTAACAAACACGTTGCTAGTGGGTGAGGCTCATCACTGAACGTCTCGCTACCACTACCCTGTTGCTCTTATTACTGACTATTTATCCAGATTCATATTGATATTCATACTTGTTCCACTACTATTACTACTACTTGACGATGCTGAGTACTTATTTTCATTCGGAGAATTTTTGGCATACCCCAGACAACCGAGACCTTTCCTGTTCATTTAAACAATCTAAGATAATTGTTGTCTATTTTCCCAACTACTTGATCACACACACAGACACACAAACAATTATTCTGGTGTACCGGTCTGTTTTGCGTTTTAGTCAGAGTTGCTCGTGTTCTATTGGCCACCTGTGTTTTTCTGTCCCGTTTTATTCGTGCCGCCAAATTTGTCCCCGACCCCGACAACGGAACTTTAGGTTGTTGTTCTTTTCCAGCGTTTTTGCATACCCTGCGATCTGCGCAGTGGTCGCGCTAGGTCATACCCCCGACGGTCAGTATCCTGATGTATATTTTCTTCAAAAAAACAAAAAAANGCGTTTTTTCAGTCTCAGTTCTCTGGTTCACGCGCTCTAACTTTGGTTTTGCTTGAAACAAATAATCACGATTAGTATTCGTTAATGTAACTCGAATGTTCGAGCTGCGAAAGAGGAGGGTAGGGATAATTGGTTGGTTCGTTGGGTACACCGAAATTGTGTGCATTAACTCCCTTCGCTAAGCGATCATCACGTGAAAGAGGGTTTTGGTCTCTTCCCTCACTCAAGGGGGTGGGTATTTTACAGAAAGGAACCTCTTTAGGAATAATGATTATTGTAGATGCGACATGTTTTAATGGCCAAAAAAGGTAAAGACAGGTTTGTTTTGTTGCCTCCGCTAAATGGTGTTACCACCTAAAATAATGGGCTGTCGGGATTTTTACTTAGCTCCTTCCAAGAGAATACAATCCGGCTCTTGTCCAGAGGGAAATGCAAATAAAATGAGTGTGCCCCCCCCTCAGCAGGCACCATCAGGTTTGTATGCCAAGTAGCTGATAATCAAATGCATCACGTAACGGCATTCGGGGCACCTTTTTTGCATAAACGTAAAAGTTCAGCGCAGGGCGGTACCATCTCAAGTAGTACAATATTGCAAGGCCGAACAAGTTTTATTTCGAATGGCATCTCAACGAAAGATCAACAGTCTAACTCAGCTGGTCGGAATGGCGCCTCACACGAGGTTCCCATACGTTGGACGGTGGGGTCTTTTCCGACAGACACGGTTATACTCAAAATGCTACCGATCAGGGTACTCAATGGGTGAGATGATTCGGTGGTTAGAGTGCCAATTTACTGGCAGAAAGTCCTGTGGTTCGAACCCGACCACCGCATCTCGACTTCTCCTGGGCAACTTGGCACCATCTCCGCCTTCGGGTGGCATGGCACCGAAACGGTGTTACAGCTGAACGATTAAGTACTCATTTCTGGATGAACTAAATAGTCTTTTTTTTAATTTTTGACCCTGTTAGATGACGTACCGATGGATACGAAACGCTGTTAGAAACGATGCACATCCTACACACCCAGTCAACCGAACCAAAATGTTTGGCACCTGGTTGTTATCAATTTCGTACGGGAAAATCGCTCCACCAATCAACTGAAAGTTCCAAACGTTCAAATCAGGCTATCGTGGATGAGCTTAAATTGGCTATGAGGGAGGTCCTAGAATTCATACCAGAGGCATGCAATTCACGTATTGACTTTTACTGAAAATTCATCCTCCACGTTTCCATACTTGTTCAGTCTTCGATAATGTCAAGCGTCACATCCGGACGATACACACTTAGTCCATGCGCTTGAGAAGGTTGTTAACTACCCACCATTATAAGAGCTCTGGAATGAATAGCAGTTCACAGCTGACTGAGATTGATCACCACTAGGCTGCAGTCTCCAGAATCAGTAATTGCGAAATGTTTTCCATAGAAAAGTACACAAATCAACGAAAATTATTCCAAACTTTGTGATCGGTCAAGGGGTTGAGCAACCACGCTCAATCATCTGGTAAGTTCATCAGAGTTCGACGGTATTCCGGGCTAAGTAGTAGTGTAAACGGTGCAGCATTCAGGAATTGCTACGAGTGCAGCAAATCTGCAGTACGGATAGATGTAGTGTAAACGGTGCAGCATTCAGGAATTGTTACGAGTGCAGCAAATCTGGAGTACGGACAGGTTTCTTGGATGAATTGCGGGCGTGTTCAGAAGAGACTAAAATGGGCCATTGACCGCATTACTTGACCGGGAGTTTAAATGGCACAATGTGATTGGCTGGGGCCGAGATGGCTCAAGTAGTTAGAGCGCAAATTTACTGACCGGAAGGTCCGTGGTTCGAACCCGACCTCTGCCTCTCGACTTCCCCTGTCTAGGCTTTGGCAACCTGGTAGCATCCAAGCCCTCGTGCCTCCTTCGTGTGGCATGGCAGCTAGGCACCGAAATGGTGCTACAGCTAAACGAGGTGATTGGTTTTGCCGATGATCCGGATGGATTGACATGTTCCACAAAGAGGAAAGCAGAACTTCGGCCGTACAGTTTCTCCTGGTGTGGCTTTTGCAGATAGGGTGTTGACATCCGACCGATGCACAGGAGCCTTTCTTTGATTTCAGAACCCCGGCTTGTATTCCAACGCTACTGTGCAATAAGACGCACATTACAAACGATTATGGTTTCTTTCAGAGAGGTTTTGTAAACAATCGGTGGATCGGTTTACAGACCTCTCCGAAACGACGACTACCCAATTGGTCTCGAATATTTTCCAATTGATTGTGACTTCTGTTTCGCGGCCGCAAAACTGCGGACCTGAATTCGATCTCGAAAACGACAGGAACGGCTCAGTTCTGTGATTCGTCACCAATGACGGATATTTTGAGCGCAGATTACACAATTTTGATGCGAATACCATTTAAACTGTTCTGTTCCTCAGCATCCGAACGATCCGTTAATTTTGAGTCACCAAACTTGGAACGTATAATTTCCTGCGCAACGCAAATTTGATTTCAAGTTTAGTTACATGACGGAAAGCAGCTAGCTCGTTACAAAACCTCGCGTCGTATAAATGTATCACTTTTCATTCCCTCAAAAAATTTCCCATTGGAACCCCAACACCGGCCACTTTCAACCAATGATCACCCAGTTTTGTGGTGGACATCCTTTAGATCCCGAAAATCACCACCAAATGACCGTTCCTCAGTAATCTTGATTGAAGGTTATCGCAGGACGAGACCTCAACGGAAAATTCTGGCGATAGCCTTACACTGGACTGTTTTCAAAGCGGAAGTCTGTTGCACGGACTGCAACCATAAACTGCACATTTATTTACCTGAATGAGACCTAGTCATTATCGCCGTTTTTGCACAACGTTGTTGTGCGACACCAGCTTTTCCTGGGTTACATCATTCGGAACATGGTGCGATTGCTTTCTGTTACAGACATTCTCTTCGTTTCTTCAACCTTTGTAATTCATCAGCACCCTCTGTCAATCCCTAGACTCTTCATTGTTCGCCCTTTTTTAAAAATCTGCAACCATCGTCGTATTTGTTTGTGGCTGGGATGGATTTCCTCGTTTCAACAGGCTGGTGCTGATCGTGTCGAGATCCGATGTGTTTATTTGGGTTTACGGGTGACTCCGGGTAGATCGTTTCAAGGGCTGTGAGCGTTATGGCTTATTTCACCTTTTTTTCAATCATCATCCAAATCACCATTGTGCCCGTCGAGTTCTGTAAGCTTCTCAGCCAACTAATCTCGATATTGTTGAGCTACAGAGTCGCTGAATGGCATTGCATCAGTCGACATGTTCCATAGGGAAAGCGAAAAGGTCCACATGTCCGCACAAGTCAAGTGGTGTACTCCAATCTTGTAGGGAAGCTTTCCACAGGTAGCTGATCGCCATCTAGTCCAACGGAGTCCACAGTTGGTTTGTGTTGGTGGCTAAGTTACACGGCGGTAGTGCATGTGCTGGCCAGACCGAAATGATGTTCAGCACATAGCCGAAGAAGTCGCCCCCCATTATCCGTGTGGCGAGCACCAACTCCGAATCGGTCGCCAGGATAGACCTCTTCAGGACTTGGTTGGCTAACCTGGGCTTTCATATCACCTTTCAGAACCAAGATATCTATTCTTAATGGTAGAACACAATGAAGCGTACGTAGTCGTTGGAATTGGTCATGACTGTGGCAAAACAGCGACACGGGGACTGAGTTTCTAAAACCTCGGCTTTCATGAACGTCTCCTATTCCCCGAGGGTAATCTACCTTTCATGTCCACGTACACCTGAGCCCCATGAACGGTCGGCTAAGACCACCTATCGTGATATTGACTAGGGCCAGTTATCAAGCGGTAGCTACGGTTTGGGACGAGATGGATCAAGTGGTTAGAGCGCGAATTTACTGACCTGAAGGTCTGTGGTTCGAACCCGACCTCTGCCTCTCGACTATCCCTGTCTAAGCTTGGGCAACTTGGCAGCATCCCAGCCCTCATGCTTCTTTTGGAGAGCGTGGCAGATAGGTACCGGAAGGGTGTTACAGCTGAACAACTTATTTTCTATTTTATTTTCGAATTGGGAACCGAATTCCTCATGAAATTGCACGTAGGATAATGTGGAAGTGTGAAAAATCGAGCCGACCAAGGCCTTCAACCCTATTGACTTATTGTTTTAAGGTCTAATCCATCAAGGCTGGATCACACCATGATGCCTCGCGTTCTCGATTAGGGATCGCAACTGTCCGTCAACTCGTAATAAAAACCAATTTTTTCTATTAGTTTCTCGTTAAAGTAAGCTGAATTTGACTACCGATCTCACCTCGGTTAAAAATAAACAAAATGTAAGGGTGAATATCAGAATCTAACGGGATGACGGTTGCGTCAGAACGAACAGAGGCTCCGTTCATGAGTGTTCTAATTTAATGACAAGTTTTTTTAACGGTAGGTCGACATTGTTTTATACACTGATGGACGTTCTTTTACTAACTGACAACTTTTAATATACCAATCATCATCATCAGCTGTAAGAACCGTGTACTTGCCATACAGTGGTTCTAGCTGCCACGCTTTCGTTCACTGATGATTTGGGGAAATGAGATAAGTAGCAGCGCATCGGAGGCGCTAGCTGATATAATCGATGCATAAATAAAGGTTTTCAGTGGACTTTTAAATAGGGGGATTGGGAGGAGACCTATGCACTGGAGGCCACCAATGGCATGCTGGCACAAACTCACCACATTGCCATCAGTTACCGATGGCGCGGATCAATAGCTGACTGCCGGTCGTTTTGGAGCACACTTGTGGATTCTGACCACGCGCTCGTCCGGAGTCGCTTCTCCCTACGTTTCCCGGAGCCGCGTAAGGTACGAACAAATCGCTTGGCAACTGAAAGACTGGCAGGTTCGGATGTTAGACGAACTTACCAGAATCGTCTTCTAGAGTCTCTTCCAAAGGTTCCACCATAGGGTGCGAACTCATACTGGGACGAGATTGCCACCTCT